AGTGAGAGCCATTCATATTTCATGTACATAAGAAAAGTCAGGGCTGGCCGGTTAGCTCAGTTGGTTAGAGCGCCGCCTTATAACCCCAAGGTCACAGGTTCTGATCCCTGTGCCAGCCGCCAAAAAAGGGAAAAAAAAAGTTAAATATAAACGTATCTGACGATATTCATGTAAAATGAGATGTACCTGTAGCAAATATTCCTGACAAGAGAGAAAAATGAGAGGTTCTTCTTTAGAAGCCCTTTAGGGTTTGGAACCTGATCAGGCTTGAATGGGACAGGTGACTGAGATTTATGGGTGCGGGTACGAGCAGGGAGGGACATTCCCTGCAGGGACTTTATGGGATCAAACTTAAAGAAGGGGATAACAAAAAGTATGTCTGCAGAGAAGTGAGGGGCCTCGCTGAGCCACATCAGAGAGCTTGCACCGGGGGCGAGAGAAAAGGTTTGGAAATTCAGGTAGCGAGTCAGACCCTAGAAGGCCTTAAATGGAGTTTACGCTTGACCTCTGGTTGGTAGAGAGTCAGCGAAGGTTTTTTAGGGTGACCAGTTTTCTACTCCTGTCTTCATTGTTAATTCTGAAGTTCCACTGAGCTGTTCCTGTATGTGGATGAGTAGGAGAGGGTGGGAGATGGCCAGGAACTGGTAGCTAGAACACAGTTCCACTCCGAGAATCCCTGCTCCAACCCCTGATTACCTACCTGCATTCACACCACACTTGCAACTTCACTTCTGATCACATGCTCATTTTATTGTCTGTCTCCCCACTAAGCTCCAAGGTCCATGGAGATAGGAGGACAGTAACTATGACGACTGGATGTTGATTTTCATTAGATCCTTGGCACTTACCACAGAGCCTGTAACAGAGAGGGCACCTAGTGAATCTTGTTTTGACAATGAGTGAATGAATGAACGAAAGTACGTTGCTGCAAAGTCAAAAAAATTATCTCAGCAGAACTGAGGCCACCACAGGTGGACAAGGGGGAGCGGGGGGCGGAGGGGGGTTAGCAAGAAATTGGTAAAGGTCCACAAAAAACGATTCCATTGTATGACACTGAACATACTAATTATCCTGATTTGAGCATCACATGTTGCACACAGGTGTTGATATCCAACGCTGTACTCCCCAGATACTACAATCATGTTTCAATAAAGCAAACAAACAACATAAAAACTCGTGTCCACATGCCCTCACATACACCAGATGATCCAGAAACTCAGTTGTCCATGCCAAATACCTTCCTAACTCACAGCCATCTCGGAAAAGCCGTGAACCCAGAGGTCCCGGCAGGCACCACTCCCACTCCCACCCCCACGCCCACGCATCTGTCTGTCCCCAGCAATTCCCTGCGGCCTCGGACCCGCACCCCCGTGCAGCGCATCCCCAGCGGGAACCGGGGAGTGGGCACCGCATGCGCCCGGCACAGGCCAGGCAGGAAGAGCTGCTGGACACGCGCCTGGACCAGCGCCTCGTTGGCGCCCCCCACAGGCCGAGCAGTTTGTGACGGCCAAGTTCGAGGCATGGCAGCCGCTCATTGAGCGCCAGGCCGGGCCCTGCGCCACCTGCAACCAGGAGCGCGTCACTGACCCACCATGAACGCAGAGTCCTCGTCGCGCTGCTCCACCTCCTGATTGAGCGGAGCGAGCGTGGGGCGCCAGCAGCGCGTCCGCCTCTCCTAGGCTGCTGGGCAGGGGCCCCTCGCTGCCGCCCGCCGCCTCCTGAGCACACCTCTATCACAGTGGCTGCCGCTCTTGCCTCCTGTCCCCACCAAGCTGTGGGCTCTGTCAAGCTCGTGCTTACAGGCCATGGGGAAGAAGCCAACAACAGCAGTCGTGGTGATAGTAAGAGCCCCTGATGCGTGCCGCACGCTGCTCTGAATGCTGCACATGTGTTAGTTCATGCAATTCTCAAAGTCAGTCCATGAGGTAGGCACCTGCACGTCGTCCTGTGATGCAGAGGAAGGAGCACGGAACGGTGAAGTTCTCCACGGTCACACAGCTGGTAAGCGGCAGGAACAGGAGCTCATCTGGGGCTGTCTGTTCCCCCCACCCACCCCGCACTCGGGCCTCTCTCCCGCCCGCTCTGCACACCCTGGGGGTGGTGGCTTGCTCCAGCCTCGGGCAGTCCCCGCCTGCGCCTGGGCTCCGGGTGGCACCTCTGCACACTGGCCTGCCTCCCATATGGGGAGCTCTCCACTCCCAAAGCCTCTTCTCTCCTTCCTGGCGGCCCTGGTGAGTGGGGCGCGCTTCCCTGCTGGGCTGGCCCTGGTGCTGTGTCCTGTGCCCACAGGACTAACCAGTGCCTCTGCACGGCCCCACCCTGCCCACCTTCGTGTAACGATGTGCTCTGTCTCCCCCGCCCGACACTCACCCCCCACGCCCCCTGGCTTTTGGTCCTGAAGCCAGTATTCCCTGCCCCTTCCCCTCTGTGACGTGGTCCCGGCAGCCTCCCACCCTCCGCAGGCCTAAGTCAGACGCTCCCTGCGCTGATCTAACCATCTGCAGGGTGCTGTTGGCCTGTCCTCCTGGAAGCTTCCTGCCGCGCTCTCAGACACAGTCCTCCTATGTTCACCGCAGCAGAACGTCCTGTTCTGGAGTGGCCAAACCATTCTGTCCAGAAAGAATCCCCTCTGCCACAGCCAGTATGAGTGTTAGTAATCAGCAGCCCTGTGTGCAGGTACTGCTGTCAGCCACAGTGCACAGGGGAGGCCCAGAAAAGGGGAGTTGCGGGGCTGATGCCATGAAGCCCAGAGGTGGCAGGGACAAGGTTCAAACCCGGGGGTCTGGATCCCAGCCTGCCCTCTTGACCCTGTATCACTGCTGCCCCTACGCGATGAGTCGTTCTTTGACCCTGAGTGTGGCTGGGCAGGTTATGCCCTGCACAACTCTAGGGGATGTCGTTCCTATTGCAGTCCCTGAGACTCAACTATTTACGACAATGGCTTTCTGGTGGATGGCAGGTTAGTGTCTCGAGGAGGAGGCGCCTTCACACAAAGGTGCTGTTTGTGCTAGTGTTGATGTTAGGGCCTGCTCTGGAGAGTCACCTGACCCCGTGTTCTTCCTCTGCCCTGCAGCTCAGCAGCAGGGATCATGGTCATGTTCCCCCTCCCCCCACACACACACCAACACCAGGACCTTGCCAGGGACCAGACCCTGCCCCAGGCTCTGTGCAGGTAACAAGAGCTCCAATTCTTGAATAATCACCAGGGCCGAGCACTGCTCTAAACACTTGTTGCTTTTACCGTCTTCACAGTCCTATGGAATTGTGATTCTTCCTGTCCCCAGGTGGGAAAACCGAGTCTCAGAAAGCTTGGCAATGTGCTCAGATTGCCTGGTCAGTAAGTGGCAGAGCTTACTGTCTGCAGAGGCTGCGTCTTAACCACCTGGTCCCCACTTCTCCCCCATTGTAGTCCCTAGATCTCCCTGTTGGCTTCTGCTTGGGGAAAGGTGGTATGCAGGTGTGAGGCAGGGACAGTACCCCCAGGTACCAGGACCCTGTGGCAGCTGGGGGGGCTTGGGGCTGAGGACAGCTTGTTCTCTGGCCTGGCTCTCAGCCCCCTGTCCTCCCAGGTGTCCCCATGACCAGAGGGCTGCTATGGCCCTGTGGCACTGCTTTGGCTTCTTCTAAATGAGTCCTGGAAGGCAGTTACCAGTCCTAAGGTCTTCATGGGATGAGTGAGGAAACTGAGGCCCAGGATGTTTCAATTGTTTGCTCAGGACCACACAGGGCGCCAGTGGCATGGGGACTGTCAAGGCAAGGACCTGGATCTTGCTATCCCATGAGCTGTGTGTTTTGGCCTCTTTGAGCCCTTGTTGTGATCTTTTCAGTCCAACAGGACTGATCCTGATTGCCTGGCCAGGAAGGTGCTGGGTGGCCCTAGTGCCTGGTGCCTGGGGAGGCTAGACACTCTGTTTCTGTAGCTTTCACCTATCCATGCCCTAGGCCAGCTCTTCTGCTCAGAAGCTGTGTGCCCACCTCCGGTTCCCTCTTCTCTCAACTCCCAATCATGGTTGAAAACTTTTCAAATTTGCTGAGAACATTAATCTACACATTCAAGAAGCCCAACAAACCCCAAATAAGATAAATGTAAGGAGGTCCACACCCAGACACTTTATAATAATAAAAATTCTGAAAAACAGAGACAAAGAGAAAATCTTGAAAGCAGCAAGGGAAAGATGACTTGTCACATGGAATGGAGCCCCAATAAAACTAAGATCTGACTTTTTATCAGAAACAATGGAGGCCAGAAGTCACTGGAAAGATGTATTCAAAGTGCTGCATGAAAAAACTGTCAACCAAGAGTCTTACATCTACTTTTAGGTAATTAATGTGAAATAAAAACATTCCTAGATAAACAAAACCTGAGAGAATTTATTGCTAGAAGATCTGCCTTACCAGAAAGACTAAAAATGTTCTTCGGGGTGAAAGCGAGTAAATGCAGATGGAAATTTGAATATACACACACACATACACAAAGAGCACCAGTAGAGATAATTCTGTAATTATAAAAGACAGTATAAATGCATATTTCTTTTCCTTTCTTCTCTTAACTGATATAAAAAGCAGTTGTATAAAATACATATGTAATTGTATTGTGGGGCCTGCAAAATATAGAAAGGTAATATATTTGACAATAACAATGCAAAGGAGGTGGATGAGAGCAAAGCTGTAATGGAATAATGAAATTATGCTAGATGGCAACACAAACCTCAGAAACAAATGAAGAGAACCAAAAATGGTAAATAAAAAGGTGAATATAACAAACTCTATGAATATATACTTTCACTTTCTTAGCTTCTTTAGTAAACATATAAGTACATTATAACAATGTACTGTTGAGTTGGTAACATATAAATGTAGTATGTATAACAATAGTAGCACAAAAAAAGAGAAGAGAGAAGAGAGTTATATAAAAGTAATAATCATACATTTCCCTGGAATTAAGTTAGTATAGATCCAATGTGTAGATTCTGATAAGTTAGGGTTTATATGGTAAGCCCGAGAGCAAACACTAAGAATATCTCAAAAATATACCATGAAAAAAATCATTAAAGAATTGAAATGTTACACTAGAATATATTTACCTAATGCAAAAGAAAGCAACAAAAGAGAAAAAAAGGAACAAAAAAAGGCATGAGATAGAGAAAACAAAAAGTAAAATGGCAGACATAAACCCACCTTAAATGTGAATGCATTAAAAAATCCATACAAATTTTAGTTAAACTGACCGGGAAGAAAAAAGAGAAGGTTCCGTTTACCAAAATCAGAAGGAGAAGCGAGAAGTCACAGGGACAAACAGCAGCAAAATACACATTCTTTTCAACCACCCATGAACAGTAGCTAATATACTCCATATCCTGGGCTCTCACCAGAAAGAAGTGGAGAGATCCAAGAAATGCAAAGTTTTTCAGACAGAAAGAAAAGATTCCAGGCTGAAACTCAGATTGGTAAGAAGAAATGAAGAGCACCAGAAATGGTAAAATTGTTAGTAATATAAGAAACAATTTAAAAATTCTAATGTATAAACATTTATCTAGAAGAGTATTGAATATCTAAGCGAAAATAATAACAGTATCCTATTTTTGGCCCATCAGACCCCAATTAAACAAGCAGAGCTGGCCAAAACAAACAAACAAAAAACCTAACCTTTTAAAGTCACTAGAAATTGTCTTAAGGACATACAGCAAATGAAGAAAAATGTATTTGAGGAAATTTACTGAAACTCGACACTAATAGCAAAAGTCTATGGCATTTGAGCCACATTCACCTGTCTCTCCACGCCCAGCTCAGCTTGATGGTAGCTCCACTCTGGGTGGATATGGCCAAAAAGAGAGGGTTCCCTCTTCTCTCAACTCCCAATCATGGTTGAAAACTTTTCAAATTTGCTGAGAACATTAATCTACACATTCAAGAAGCCCAACAAACCCCAAATAAGATAAATGTAAGGAGGTCCACACCCAGACACTTTATAATAATAAAAATTCTGAAAAACAGAGACAAAGAGAAAATCTTGAAAGCAGCAAGGGAAAGATGACTTGTCACATGGAATGGAGCCCCAATAAAACTAAGATCTGACTTTTTATCAGAAACAATGGAGGCCAGAAGTCACTGGAAAGATGTATTCAAAGTGCTGCATGAAAAAACTGTCAACCAAGAGTCTTACATCTACTTTTAGGTAATTAATGTGAAATAAAAACATTCCTAGATAAACAAAACCTGAGAGAATTTATTGCTAGAAGATCTGCCTTACCAGAAAGACTAAAAATGTTCTTCGGGGTGAAAGCGAGTAAATGCAGATGGAAATTTGAATATACACACACACATACACAAAGAGCACCAGTAGAGATAATTCTGTAATTATAAAAGACAGTATAAATGCATATTTCTTTTCCTTTCTTCTCTTAACTGATATAAAAAGCAGTTGTATAAAATACATATGTAATTGTATTGTGGGGCCTGCAAAATATAGAAAGGTAATATATTTGACAATAACAATGCAAAGGAGGTGGATGAGGGCAAAGCTGTAATGGAATAATGAAATTATGCTAGATGGCAACACAAACCTCAGAAACAAATGAAGAGAACCAAAAATGGTAAATAAAAAGGTGAATATAACAAACTCTATGAATATATACTTTCACTTTCTTAGCTTCTTTAGTAAACATATAAGTACATTATAACAATGTACTGTTGAGTTGGTAACATATAAATGTAGTATGTATAACAATAGTAGCACAAAAAAAGAGAAGAGAGAAGAGAGTTATATAAAAGTAATAATCATACATTTCCCTGGAATTAAGTTAGTATAGATCCAATGTGTAGATTCTGATAAGTTAGGGTTTATATGGTAAGCCCGAGAGCAAACACTAAGAATATCTCAAAAATATACCATGAAAAAAATCATTAAAGAATTGAAATGTTACACTAGAATATATTTACCTAATGCAAAAGAAAGCAACAAAAGAGAAAAAAAGGAACAAAAAAAGGCATGAGATAGAGAAAACAAAAAGTAAAATGGCAGACATAAACCCACCTTAAATGTGAATGCATTAAAAAATCCATACAAATTTTAGTTAAACTGACCAGGAAGAAAAAAGAGAAGGTTCCGTTTACCAAAATCAGAAGGAGAAGCGAGAAGTCACAGGGACAAACAGCCAGTCTCATTTTAAATCAGTTAAAATTAGAATAACTTGTTAAAATGAAATTTTTCTGGAACAAATGTGAAAGCAAAAGGGACTGCAGAATAACAGGGGTAATTTGGGACATATGTCACTCTCATTGTTATGGATATCTCTGAATGCATTTATCCTCTTGGTAGCGTGTTTTAAAAACAGGATTAATGAATTACTAGATTTAAAGTGATTTTGTTTCCATTAAACTTAACCAGTTACCTCAGCTATGGATAAATATTATGTAATTATTTAACAATTATTTTAGGTTACTATATGTTATCTCTCTGAACTAGAATTTAAATTCTCCAAGAATACAGTTTTATTGTCAGTATTTACCGTCTAAGGTAGTGCACAGCTTATAATTTATAAATGTTGTCAAATGGCTGATGGCAATGCTGGAATGTTCTAATATAATCCTCTTTTGTGTTTTTATTAACAAAGGGATTTGCACTCATTCATACTCATTAAAAATAAGAACATACAGTTAAACAAATAAACATGCAAAAACTGATTTCTAATCTCATCACTTTGGCTATAGCAATTGATATTTTCTAGAATTCCCTTCTGTGTGTGCTACTGCTAGTGCGAAACAGTAATCCATTTGTGGATTTCAAAGTGGAAGAGCTAATGTCGTCATGTTCCCTCACAAAAGCTAAGTTTCTGTCATGTCTTCTGTTTGATTTTAGGTTTCTATCCTCCCACCAGTGGAAAGGCCTATATTGATGGATATGACATCTCAAAGCAGATGGTCCAGATCAGGAAATCCCTGGGCTTGTGTCCACAGCAGAACCTGTTGTTTAAGCACTTGACAGTATCAGAACACCTTTACTTCTATTCTGTGGTGAGCCAGACATCTTCCCTTTTCCCACTGTGTTCGTGTACTTCAGGTAGATTACCAACTCTAAATATCCTTATTCTTATAAAATTCAAAACTTAATTTTCTGATTAATTCTCCTTTAAACAAAAAGAGAGGCAAAGGAATAAGCCACCATATAGATGATGTAAGAAAAGAGCTGATAGGAAATGTTTTTAAGAAGAGAACTGAGATTACCAGAGGTGGGAAAGGGGGCGGAGGGGTAAGGGAGGAACTGATTAAGGGCCACAAAAAATGATTACATTGTATAATGTTGAATAAACTAATTATCCTGATTTGAGCATCGCATATTACACAGGTATTAATATTCAACTCTGTACTCCACAGACATGTACAATCAACTGTGTTTCAATAAAAATAAATAAATGAATACATAAAAATGTTCCTAAGAATATAATTGGAAACACCATGTAAACTCTGGCTCCTCTTTCTAGATGAAAGGAGTACATAAACAGATGAGTCCTGTGGAAACTGACCACATGTTGTCTGCTTTTAACCTGCTGGAAAAGCGTGATGCATTCGCACAGTCACTGAGTGGAGGAATGAAGCGCAAGCTGTCCATCATTATAGCACTTATGGGGGGCTCCAAGGTAAAACAAACAAACAAAAAATATACGAAACTGGATCCCCACTGCACACGGCTCTAAAAGAATCAGCTGATACCAACCTGAGGGTTGATACGGATCTAATGCTCTAACAGGAACCTTCTAAATGAAACTCAGATGAAATTTACATTATCAACCTTGTTGGTATAAAATGGCCACAGGTTTGGAACTATTCCAGCATTCCTAATTCAGTTTTATCTAAATGTACTAGCTTAGCTGGACAACTGATTGAAAAGCAAAACCAAGTAAGTCCCATGAGTGGGGAGACACTAGTAGCATGGTACATAATGTTTAACAACGGTTGCAGAATTGTTCTCCTGGTCTTTAGGTGGTGATACTTGATGAGCCAACATCTGGAATGGACCCAGCCTCAAGGAGGGCCACCTGGGATCTCCTTCAGCAATATAAAGAGGACCGTACCATCTTACTGACCACCCACTACATGGATGAAGCTGATGTCCTGGGTGACCGCATTGCCATCATGGTCAATGGATCCCTGCAGTGCTGTGGCTCTTCGATTTTCCTGAAAAAGATATACGGTTTCTCTCCCTTTTATAATTCTTGGGATATTGATGTATTAATATTCTTCTAACACAATTTTTCTTTTCTTCTTTTTTCTTTCTTTCTTTCTTTTTACAAAATAAAAAGTAAAGCTATTTTATTTTGAGGCACAACTGTTCACTTTTTAAAACCTCAATTTCCGGGCCGGCCCGGTGGCGCACTGCTACAGTGTGCCGCTTGGGAGTGTGGCGGCGCTCCCGCCGAGGGTTCGCTGTCCTCATAATTAGGGTTCTACTATGTGCCCTTTGAAATAATACATTTTCCTCAAAACTCAAAATTATTTCCCACTTTTATTTTTATTGTGTTATCCAAAGTTTATGTTAATTTCTCCCGTATGGCTTCTGCTTAAATTGAAATTTGTTTGAATGCAGTTGTGCCTTCAACGTAATTGATGATAGATATAGAGTGGTAGATAGATGATTGATGATAAACAAGACAGACAGGTACATTGATGGACTATAGAGGAAATATAGGGAATCAGATATCTCAGCTCCTTACTTCTGTTTGTCAAACCAGTATTAAATTGCTTCTATATATGAGCCAAATAATTCATTACAATGTGAAGAAGAATTTTTCTAAAATGGAAAATACCAAATATGTGCTAATAGCTTCCTTACCTCTTTTAGGTCATTATTCAAAATTACCTATGCATCAGTCGTCTTTGGCCCCCTAAATAAGATAACATCTCATCTTCAATATTTCATATTTCTTTTCATTTTTTCCCTTAATCACAAGCTTAATAAAATACATAATTTATTCATTACCTTGTTCATTATTCATCTTTAATTGAAGTATGATTTGTATACAGTACAATATCTTTCATATTCAGTTAAGTGAGTTTTTGGTTTTATATACCCAGTCAGCTCCAAGCAAAACAAAATACGAAATAGTTCCATGACTCCAGCAAGTTCCCTTTTTCCATCAATTCACCTCCACCAGAGACAACTACTTTCCGATTTTTATTACTATTCATTAGTTTCACCTATTCTTGAGTGTCATATAAATGCATTATATACCATTTTTTTTTGTTTCTGATTACTTTGACAGAATATATTTGAGATATATTGTTTCAAATATCAATAGTACATACATTTATGGAGTTTTAGGTTGTTATAGGTCATTTCAGTTTTTAAATATAATGAACAATAATGAACAAATGTGCTATAAACTTGCTTATAAAAATC